ACTTTAAAAAGGGTACGCGAGGCGGTATATTTCCCGCAATTATACAAAATAGTAACGGCGTATGTCAGGTCCTGCAATCAATGTCAGTTAATAAATGATATTAATTACAGCCCGGCCGGGTACTTAAATAGCATTCGCGCTACATTTCCGAATGAAATTTTAGGCATAGATCTCCTTGGTCCCTTCCCCCAGAGCGAGTTTAACAAAAATCGTTTTCTTTTAGTAATAGTAGATCATTTTTCAAAATGGATAGAAATTGTTCCACTTAAACGCGCGTCAGCCAAAACAGTCGCAGATGCATTCTTACACAGATACATTTTAAAATACGGTGCACCGATAAAAGTCATTAGCGATAACGGAAAAACATTCATTAGTCAAATATTTGAAAACATATGCAATGGACTTGATATACGCCATATCAAAATGGTTCCGTATAGACCACAGGCTAACATAGCAGAAAGAGTTAATAAAAACATTGTAAAAATAATTCGCAGTTACGTTAGCACACATCACAAGCGCTGGGATGGCTACACAAATGAATTAGCTTATGCTTTAAGAACGGCACATCATGATACTACGGGAAAAAACTCCAGCAGAATTATTTTTAGGCAGAAAGAAAGTTAATTACGCCTTTAGATAAATTATTCTTTGTGCAACAAAGAGAGTAGGAATTCAAACAAAAGGACGTGCAAAAACTAATTGATCAGGCGCTTAAAACCTCGGATACGGCAAGAAATAGGCAGAAAATTTATTACGATAAAAAACGCCGTGAAGCAGATTTTAAAGTTGGTGATAAAGTATTGAAACGGAAATTTTCTTTATCAAGTGCCCCAGACAATTTTATGGCAAAGCTAGCTCCAAAGTTTGAAGACCCCTATGTAATTCAGGAAATCAAAGGAGTAGTTTTATATCTTAAAAACGAGAGAGGGGAAATCTGTAAAGCAAGTCCCGACCAGGTGAAAAAATACTATAATCCCAATGATTTTGAAATCCTTAAAAGTTTCTTGCAGGACTCAAGTCTAAACGAAATAGAAAGCCAGAGACTGCAACAACTATTCCACCACCCAAGAAACGGAGAACTGAAGAGAGACCTAGCACTTCTACAAACCCGGACGTCGGTATCAAAAAGAAAAATGATTATCAAACTCCGGCGTTTAAGAAAAACAAAAAGTACAGATGAACCGGGTAAAGAAACCGTGGTAAAAAGAAAAAACACCACCTACAAAGGATGGCAGGAGGAATTACACATCAAGAAGAACGCGCACACGGCCACAGAGTCAGGTGCCAGCAAGGCCGCCGTTCCGGAAACTGAAACGCCAACAGGAAGCACAGAAGTACGAGGAACAGAAGAAATTCAAGGACTCCAGACCGGAGGACGTAAAGACCAGCCGTCCCAGGCAGAAACGCAAAAGCCAACAACCAGACGATTACTCCGTCAAGAGGCCAGCATGTACAAGAGGACGCAAAAAGAACGATCAACCGGGGGACGACAACTTGAAGAGATCAACAAGGGAGAAGATTTGACATCCATGACACCTCTAACTTGGGATCAATTTTGCCAAAAACGGATGACGGAGTTTCAAGCATCGAAAACTCAAAGATAAGTTAAAACCTTCTATAAATTTTTTCTCTTTGTTCCGAAATGTTATGCATAAAGTACGAAGTTCTATGTTTTGACGGAAGTCAATTTGTCTCGGTTGAGACTTAGTTTTGTTTTTCTTTATTTAGCTAAGGCAAAAGTATTATTTTCTTCAAGTAAAAGCTAAGAACAAGCAGTTTCTGTTGGTCGAAAGACTAATTCTGTTATGTTAAAGCCAAAATTTGGCCGGAAGGAGAAAAATAACTTCGTATTCTTGTATGTACTAATAAGAATTTTAGTTTCAGTGCCGCCAGCTTGGCGAAGATGAGTAAAGTAAAAATTTATTTTCTCTTATTCATTTTATGGTAAATTGTAAAAAGCATATGTAATTAAACTTTTGAAATGTATGTAAATACTTGTATGTTATGTAAAAGTAGAATTTAGTAGTCTAGAAGCATAAAATTGTAGATGCTAAAAGTGAATGCTTAAAAGCAATGAAGTCAAAATTTAAGTATTAAACTGTAAAGTCCTGCTTTAGAGCGAAAGCCTGCATGTTTAAAAGATGAATGAGGGGGAAGTTAGAATGAATGTGTTTTGTAGGGTTCTCCACCTACATTTGAATTTTTAAGAATATTAAAGTAGCTCATTGAGTTGTAGAATGTCGAGTAAGGTGTGTCTATTTGGTTGTTGAATTCTAACAAATCATGGTGGTTAGGGGAAGTGTTGTAAGACTAAAACACGAATATTCCCGTTTGACACCACACACGGTGGAGAGCCAGGGTAAAGTTAAATTAATGCTTGAAAAATTGAATGAATGTGAAGTAAGCAATAACTAAGAAAAAACGAAAACGTTAAAAACAAAAATTTATTGTGTCAAGAAAGTGTAAATTAAATGTATGTAGAAAGATACTGATACTTATTCCTTCCAGATGCTGGAAGGAAAGACCAAGATTGATTGATGAAGTCCAGGAAAAGTTGCTGTAAGAAGAAACCTTTGTAAAAGAGTAACAGAATTTTTAATTGTTTACATAAGATTTATTTTGTGTAAACGAGGCTTTTCGCCAGTTAGTTCAGAATTAGATAAACTTACAACAGGTCGTTTGTAGAACCTGCTTCCAAGTTTTTCCAAATTCTGGCAGCGGCAAATGTAGGGTTTATATTTATTTTAACTAACATTTATTTTAAGTTTAAACTATCTTTCCTGTCAATCCTTACTTTCCCCTGGAACTGCCAATGCCAGAATATGTAAATTTGAGTAGAACGCGCAAGCATTCAAATTATCAGCGGAAGTAGTATGATTTAAATAGAAGGAAACAAGTTCGGTGAGAGAGAGTTATTCTTACTTAGCGAGCGCGGAGGTAGTTATAGAGATTTGAAAAAAAACCCCGCGTTGCGGCCTATGTGCTTGGCGGGAAGTAGTTGCAATTGTTCCAGTGAGCTTCAAGTCTGCTGAATTAGCAGCCGTATTGTAAAACGCGGTGAGTTAGTTATTTGAGAGAGCCTCGTAGTTAGAATATTGTCTTTAATTTCTTTTCAGGTTTTTATTTTTATTTTGACTGCCGAGTTGGCACCGTTTGTAAGCGTCAAGAGAACGCAATTGTAAATTAGTACGTTGAATAAAAAGGGACTTAAACCCTTTACAAAACTCTGTGGTTTATACAAGCTTTCACAGTCACCTCTTGGTTGCGTGCTAGTTAGAGGCGCGCAACGTTATAATAGCTAAAGCGAATTAAAAAAAAATATTTAAAGGTTCCGACATATTTTGTGGAGCTAAATTCTTGTCAATATTTCTAATAGCAATCGTAATTTAAAACCTTTTGACTAAATTTAGGAAGAAACTACAAAATAAATATTTTCCATTTTGCCGATTTGTAGCTCTACAAGAGGTAAAACTTCAGCCGTTATAAAATTTATAGTTAGCTCTATAAAAATGCTACTTACGGATATCTTTGTGTATTTCTAAGACGAAAGTGTAGATGAAATCTTCTATATTTAATTACTGCGGTATAAGATTATTGTAAATAAAACTTTGGCATTTTGTGGATATAGTATCTGTCTGGGATTGAATATACTTCTCCAGAATTCCAGCTGGGGTTTAAGAGCTAGCTGGAATTTCTAATTAGTCTGAGTTAGTGAACCAAAGTTAACAAAAACTAACTGTTTTCTTTTCGGATATCATTTGGTTGTTGCTCAATGTGATATGTACTGTCGTTTATTATTATGGTTATATGCACTTATTTTGCTTATATTTCTCCACATTATAATCATAAAAGATTCCACCTATGTTTTTTGAGCAAATTTGTAAAGAGTTCAAAATTCCATTAATACCAGTGAACTGGTGGGTGACAAGAAGTGGGGTGCATGCGGGTACAAGTATATATACAAAAGCACTTGTTAAAATATTTATAAATTTTTCTTATGTTATTTCCATAAAGACACTTTACAGATATACATTATATTTTCTCAATAAACATACATAAATTGTTAAATCCCCTAATAGGACATAATCATTGAACATTTATTAGTCATAAGGTTAAATTTTCTGATCTCTCTCTTGCTAGCTTACCTTAGAAATTTATTTTAGTGAGATTACCTACTAGAACATTTCATAAGCAATAGAAATACCTTCTAATTTGGTCATCTATACTTTTGGACAAAATCACTTAATCAGGAGGATAAAGTATTATCGTGAACTGCAGCTTTCGCCAAAATTAACGAACAATCTATTCACGAGATAAGAGCATATTTTATAGCGTATTTATACAAATATATTGAAACGTTGCGCATCCTATGGCAAAGATAATGAAAGCCATTATTCTGAGGAATACTTTATTCTTAGAGGGTTTTCTAAAGGAAAATCACATTTTATTTATGTGTACACACGGGGAACAAATTTGAAAACACGAATCGTTATAGCGCCTTCCTATTGAGACTAAGAAAAATATTTCATCATGGCTTAACAATCTAAAGCAGATGCAGCTCTTCTAATCAGTCAAGAAGCCTTAAATTTCACTTTTAAGACTTCTTTTCCTTTAAAGTTTCTGTTTCCTAACAACATAGCAAACGAAAGAGTATCTTTGCCCTCTGTACAATGCTGTTTAAGCAATTTAAAAAAAAAATCTGAACACACATCTAGAAACTTTTTTTTTTCTGTCACAAGCCAAAAACGGTATTAAAGCTGAGAGCAAGCGATTGTGTTCTTTGAAAAGAAAGTAATTTCAAGAGTTTTTTCATCAAGATTGATACCCTCCTGCAAAATAATGTTTAGCAGATAAAAGATACAACTACTTTCTGTAACCCGAGACCCACAAAGGCGACAAGGAGTATTTTTTCTGAGCCAGGGCTCAGATTCTTTTATTCCATCGGAGTTATTAGGCTTCGACAGGATAAGAAGGAAATTGTGTTTATCCACAGAGCTTACCATTAGGACCCTTTTGACGCGTCGATCGGATATAGCTCCACAACGCTGAGAGAAAAAATATGGACGACAGGAGTTCTGCCCGGCCCACGACGCCTGTTACCTATAGAAAGGAAAGGAAGGGAAAAAATAAGAAAAGGTATCAGAGGCAATGTTCATTTAGCGAAAAACGAACAGAGAGCAAAGTAGATTTGACATCTGTCGCCAATGCCAAGCGGGATGTGCTATGATAAGAGCTAGGAAATCTCTAGTATGGTAAGGCTTCAGGCCTCTGAGTCTTTGGGTTAAGGGTAAAAGAGAATAGGATCCTTGTTCTTTTGTGCAGAAATTAAAGGTTTTTTTCTTTCATGTAGCTGGTAGCCAACAACTTATATAGTTCCTCAAAAGTTACTGTATAAGTTCCCGCTTTTGAAGGAATTATGCTTTTAAGGAGTGAAGTTTGATTGATCAGAAAAATATTAGTTGGAAAAAACACATTTATTTTATTATGCATGGAAAACAACTCAAACGGTTTCGAAAAGCCAGTTCAAAAAACAAGCCACATATGCAAAAATTTAAAAACAATCTGTTTGCAACTCTACACTTGCTGCGAATATATTATTAAGTTATAAAATACATTTATGGGATTGAATAATAAATAATACAGAATAATATGCACTTTAATGATTCAAATGCATTCAATAATCTCTATTTATGTCATGGTGAATTTAGAATATAATATAATTTTGGTAACAAACAATTAATTGAGCTATTATATTTATAAAGAATCAAAAGCGTGTTAAAAATGAGATTTTACATGTGAGAATATGTCTACATATTAGTAATAAACATGAGCCTTCGAACAAATCACATAACAGGAGGTTTTTGATTAAAGAGAAATCATTTGGAGCAGATTAAAAGATCTGAGAAACTTAATTAGTACTGCAGTTTCCTGCTGATTGAGAGCATCCTGGGATCGAACACCAACCGGCCCGTACACTTATAGTTAGGTCTAATAAAATTAAACATCTTTTAGGGTTATGTGTGGGCCCTCTATAACTGTTATGCTTTGACTATTCACGGATCTCCCGGATGCATCCTTTCATATCAATTAGTCATAGACCAAATACATGAACCTTACAATCAAGAACCGGATTATCCGGATATAGTCAACGGCTCAGTTGATGAATCACTTGCACACAAATATAGGCTCCAAGGTTGTATCCATGTTCCGGGTTTAGATCTTTGCAAATATGTATAACTGATATCTGATTCTTTATTTACGAGAACAGTTAGAGAATTTGTTTTGTATTATTATAAATTATGCTTTCTGTTGAATCTTCACATGCGGTAGCGTAATTATAATATAATATATATCACAATTATATATATAATTATAATACATATTACAATTACTGCGATAAAAACAATTATTAATATTAATTCATGCAACATATATACAGACATAATAAAAAAGCCAACTTGGTACATATGAAATAAGTATACTTTTCAGATTGTTCTTATATGTTGGCATAACTTTAAAGTTCGGCAGTTTAATTTCCCCATTTTTAAATTTGCTTTAGTTCTTTCAAATATACATCATTTTTAATTGTCTCAGAGAGCATTTTAGTGTTTAAGAATTCAGAAATTTTTTAACCAAGAATTTGCTTGGGTTCCAGAAATTTTCCCTATTGCTTTGATGAATTTACCGCTCGAACTAAAATTCTCTGGATAGACGTTTAACTTTTATTTGCATCAGAATATAATAGTCCTAATTTTAAATTAAAAAACTATTAGTTTTCATCCTTTAATAAATTTAGACGCAATATAATTTCAAATTTAAAAATCAGGAGCTCTCTTGTGTATGAAATATTTTGAGTCATATTTTGAAGCATTTTTATTCTTACTGGACTTCTATTAATCATAATGGAAAATTACCAGATATAAATAATTAATATTTAACAGTAAAGAACAAATATGTATCATTATGAAATAACTAAATATAATCTCACTCATTGAAAGAACTGCTATATTGCATTTTTTGCTAATTATGAACTAACTGAGATTTTTCAAAATCGAAGAGAGACAGTAAAGCTGCGGTTATATACTGCTGTTTGAATAGATCATGAGACCGAGTATCGAATTAAAAAAATCATAATGACCAAATAATAGCTATTCATACTGTGGAAGTGAAATATAAAAGTTTCAATTACACAACACAGTATAAAATAATTACATAATGTGAATTATGTAAGTTTTCAGATAATAGTATTTTGTGAATTATATATAGGTATTCCAAACATAGTTAAAAAGCTCTGTGTAGTGTTCAATTATCATTAGCAGATCCCATTAGAAAATAACATAAGATTTATTAGTGAGAATCTCAACTTTATGATATATTAAGTGCTTTTAATGCAAGCAATATTACATCTATTTGATTATATATATATTAAAAGATACAAAAAATAACTTACAGCTTCAGTATGAACAGGATGAACTGCAAACAACATGGCGGCTACGAAGCTGGGACCCTTTGGAAGAAATTCTGCGCATAATCTAGGAAAAAATTGAATATATGAGTTTTAACTTATATTTTATTTGAAACAAACAATAATATTAGACTGTAAAATTTATCTAAAATTATTTAAAATCAGTTAACGAATTATGTGTGTGTGATGGTAATACAATCAACTTCTATTGGATTTTAAAAGCTATTATAAAATATCCTTAAATGGAATTTAGGCGAGCATTTATTTCTTGCAAGGATTCTTTTCAAAATAATAGGCAGTTAAGTAGTTCTTTTATACATGCTGTATTTTCAAAAATTGTTTCGATAAAAGAAAAATATTTTACTTGTGACACTATAAGATATTTCTCCCGCCTTCTTAGCATGCCTTTGTAGTGTAGTAGTCAGCACACTTGGCGCCTATTTGAGAGGTCCGTGGTTCGAGTCTCGGTAAGCGCATTGCTCAATTTTAACGTCTCCTGCTTCGAAATAACCTAATGTCTCTATAACACAATTTATAATTTTACTTCAAAATTAAAACATTGAAATTTAAAATTATTTCTCAATGGTTAATTTATTTAATTATCCATTGAGTTTAACCTGCATTAAATTCTTTCTTTACACATTTCGTAAATTATTTATTTATATTCTCTGTTCTATTCAATGAAGAATAGTCATTTAATTAAGTGGAATTTGCTTCCATTTTAGTAAAATGGATCAGTGGGCATTCAGTAAAACGATCCCCATCCAAATTATTTTAAGCCTGGCTTGGGCTCATTAAAACTCATTTAAGTCCTAACTGTATTCAGGTCGTACTTTGATAATATTTTTATATGCAATAGTTAATATACGAAGATGGAAAATATAAGGATAAGACATTTTTGAACCTGTATAGTAAACATCTTCTGTGTGAACAGATACATTAAAGGCTGAGTAATTTTAATAAAAAATTGGGGTATCCCAATCAAGAATTTGAGAAACATAATTCAGTATTCTTGACAGCAGTAAAATATATTGCTGTTACAGGCTAAAAAATCGCAAACGAAAATGCAAAACAAAATCGTCGTCGCAAAAGAACGCGAAACAAAACCGTCGTCGTTCAAATCGTCGTGGAAAAAAAGAAAGCAAGGAAAAATCATCGCTGTTCTAAGATATAGTCGTATAAAACATCGTTGTCGGAAATAAAATTATTCAAAAACTGCGCAGTTTTCGCAGATCGTCGTCGAAAATATCGTGATAAAACATAAGATACCTACAAATCATCGCATGACGATAATATTGCAGACGTGCGTTTTTCAAGCTTTAAAAATTGCAAATGTATATTCTCATAATGATTTGTGAGCTCAAAAAAGAATTAGGAATATTTTTACTTTTATACTTTTGAATTAACTAATAATTTTTGGTCGAAAAACTAAGATTGAAATTTAAGTATTCAGAAACTGAAAATTAGTAGAAAATTAATACTACTTACAGCAGTTAATAGAATTTTATACTACGATAATTAATTAAACAATTGTAATCGAGGTAACTACATGCACATATATTCATTTTTCTAACCTTTCTTAGACTATGTTTCAAGAAAAATTACCAATGAAACTTTATAAAAGAGATTATTTAATTAATGACCCTTAATACATAACAATATAAGTTTAAAATTTTAATAATTGTTATACCTAGCATTATATTTCTACTAACTTTCTGTTTGTTAATTCTTACATTTCTTTGTTATTTTTTCAGGAAAAACGTTTTAGTTAATTTCAAAATAGGAAATACAAAAGTAAAAATATTCCTCATTTTTCATTGCGCTCACAAATCATTACGTTAATACGAAAAATTTAAAATCTGAAAACGCATGTCTGCGATGTTATCGTAATGCGATAAATTTGTAGGTCTTTTATTTTTTACCAAGATATTTTTGACGATGATGTTTCCAAACATTTTTGAAAAGGATGATTTTTAATCGCTTTTTTTTCGATGATGATATTTTGTACCATGATATTTTAGAACTGCGACGTTTTCTCCTTGCTTTCGTTTTTCCGCGATATTTTCTCCGCGATGTTTTCGTTCGCGATGTATTTGCCGCTATGCTTTCGGAAAACAAATATACTGCTGACAGTAAAATCCTAATTATCGTACATTGGGTATTTGCTTGCTTATGTGTTATTTGTAGTACAACGAACATTAATACAGTGATGTGGTTAAGGTCGTAAAAAACACCAAAATTATTTGATAATGTTTCTGTGGACAAACGTGATAGGAAAAAGACACATTTAGCATACATAAACTACCTGCAACTGAGGTGACTGATAATCATAAAGGAATACAACGTTGCCAGCTTTGCTAAGAAAATACTTATAAACCTCTCAATAAAAATATGAGCTCTTCGAACGAATGCAGTACGTTAATTTGTAACCAAATGAGACATAACGTCAAATTACAGAACTAAAGCGAACAACAAAAATCGTTGTTAACGAAGTAGATGACTCTTGAAAAAGCATTTAAAGAGACATTAGACATAATGCTTCCTCATTTTAAGAAGACCCACTTTGGAGTCTTTCAACCGTTTTTGATGTTTCTTTGATGTTGATGGTGGCATTTATGATGTAACATAAATAGTTTCTATTTAAAGGCTTCATTAGCTGCATTCTAATATTAAGCAGCACATATGTCTTAATGTATGTGTACATAAGCATATATTTTTGGAATGAGGAAATTTACTGCAGTTTGTTAAATACTACTACTGGCTAAATGGCTCTACTTTTGTAATCATTATTCGTAGACATATACTTCCAGCAACAAAATGCCTTAAGATATTAATGCCTTAAGTTATGGCATTTTTTAATTTAAAAAAATCAGTTTTGTAAAAATCCCGAAATATAACCTTTTATATGGCTCTCCGATAGTAGTTATACCTAGTAAACGTTTACACACATTCTTAAAAATTAAAACGAGAAATACAGAAAAACTGACTCATATTTAATTTTAAAATTTGATATCATGTTCAGGGATCGTGCACAAGCTGAAGAATAAAACGTTTGCGCGTGTTTAGAAACGAAACATCGGTTTAAAAAAAGTCTTTTAATGTTAATAAATTAAACGACGATCTTTTCTATGCGGAGTGTCATGAATAATTTATCTATATAAGTTATTTCAAAATGGAGATCTCATTCACAGACTCTTATAGATTTCGTGTTGCCAAAAACAGTGACAGGCACAAAAGGAAATCGTAGTCATTATCTGCGTAAATAAAAAATAAAAAATGAATAAATGCAAATGGAAAATCATTTCAATTCGAAACATTTGTTTAACGATTGTTTTGCTGCGATTATTAGATTATGATTCTAAAGTAGTGAAACTGCATTGGAATATTAATTGCGTATTTTTAGCATTTCAAATTTATAAATTACGTGTAAAAATACCTTCTGCATATCACAAATAACAAAATTATAAAATAAAGAACGATACGCACCAAATCATGAAAGAATTTGACTGTATGTCATTTACAAGGGAACATTTCGAATAATTCTAATTTATTTTCTAATGAATCCCTGAAGGTAAACCAAAAATGGGACACAAATCTCAAAATTTGAAATCATATAACTTTGACCATTTTGGCTGTACGGAACACAAAACTTATATGCTTTTTTTATAATGAGTATAATCTTTTACTATATATAATTATGGAAACCAAAGGCTGTAGAATAACCGAAACAAATTTAGTTTGAAGATATCTAAAATTTATTATACCTTATTTTAGATATTTACTACAGTTAAATAAATAATTAATAACTTGTATTTTTATTTCACTGACTTTTAATTTCATTTGAAAAAAAATCTGATGTATACACAACATGACTTCCTTGTACGGAATATTAAATTATACGCATTTTTTTCTGCATTTCATTTAAACTTATTTCCTCGAATTTCATTAGAGATATATTTCTCATTTAATTAATTCAGTTCTCACTTTGCGGCAAGGGGGGGGCGGGAAGTACATAAAAACTGAAAATATCGTCATAAAAAATTGAAAGATATAGAAAACATAAAACACCAAATACTGTTAAAACAATTAAAAAATTACAATTAAAATTATTTTCTACGCAGAAACAAGCAGTTCGGCAAAAAAGCACGGAAGGTGCAGAAACTGGCTTAACTCCCTATTCTGCTAAGTTTCAAATGCAAACAAATATGTCTGCTATGGTTCGAAGAATAAGGCTTAGCCACACTTAAACAACTTTCAAATTCTTGATGATTCTACAACTAGTGCATACACATTAACTAAAGGCATAAAAACCTTAACCGGAAGGTAAGAACAACATAATTCAATCATTTTTAAAACAAAAGTGAACAGTTTACCAATATATAAGAATAAAAAAACTGAACTCCACTGCGAGTAACAGAGGGAGTATATATACCTTTGGTGCGGCAGAGTGCAACCAAAATGAGCACAACTGCATGTTATAGCAGTCCTATATACAAAATTTCAACGTTCTGAGGCTACTCGTTTTTGAGTTATGCGAGATACATACATACATACATACGTCTGTATGTATGGCATAAGACGTCACGAAAAAAAAATCTCTTCTGAATCCATTTTATATCAGTTTTATAATTCATTTGGGGGAAAAAAATCCTTTATTTTGCCCTTACGTACAGATGTCACCCAGAAACATCGGTAAATTGCATTCGATAGCATCCAAAATGGATATTTTCGTTGAAATATGAAACCCGGAATTTTTCGTGATTGCAATACTTCCTTTACTTCGTACCACAAAGTAAAAACAATTGTAATAGCTTGTATTCGTAAATATTTGAGTAAAATTTGTAAGCAATATAAATTTGTTAGTAATAAACTTAATCTAAATTTAGAATTAAAAATACGTCTAAGAATTCTAAATACTTAGATGCTTTAGTATTACTAAACCCTTTTTAATAATATAATAATATATATATATATATATAAAGAGAAGGATCCATGTTGAGTGCAAAATAATTTCAGTCTTTTAGCAGTCAGTGTAAGCAATTAGAATTAATTTAATTAAAACATATA